TCAGACACCATCCATACTGTTCTCAGCATCTATATTTCCCGCAATTGGCTCATTCATTAGCTTGATGCCAAGAACGCCTTCCTCCATGGTGACTTACCTGAGACTTTTTACATGTGTCAACCTCGTGGGTATGTAAACACTCAAGTTCATGATCATGTATGTCGCCTACGCAAAGCTCTTTATGGGCTGAAACAAGCCCCACATGCTTGGTATCAACGGTTTGCTGTTTATCTCTCCACGCTTGGTTTCCGCAGCAATAAATTTGATTCCTTGCTTTTCACTTATCACCATGGCTCTGACACTGTCTATCTTCTTCTCTATGTTGATGACATCATTCTCACTGCTTCTTCCACTTTTCTCATCTCCAAGGTTATTTCTCAGCTTTCTTCTGAATTTCCCAAGTCTGACCTCAGATCTTTCTCATTCTTTCTTGGCATTGTTGCCACTCGTACCTCTTATGGACTTTTCATATCTCAATCTTCCTTTGATCTAGAGATCATTGCTCGGGCTGATATGACTGGGTGCAATACCTGCTGCACACCCGCTGAAAGCAAAAGCAAGTTGGCGGCAGGTTGTGATCCGATCTTTGATCCTACACTCTATCATAGTCTTGTTGGAGCCCTGTAGTACTTCACTTTCACTTGTCCTGATATTGCGTATGCTGTGCACCAGGTCTGTCTTTTTATGCATGACCCGCGTGTACCACACTTTCAGGCTATCAAACGTATTCTTCGTTACCTTCAGGGTACTTTGACTCACGGTCTTATTATCCATCCGTCTTCTATTGACCGTTTGGTCTCCTATTCGGATGCTGATTGGGCAGGCTGTCCTACTACTCTGCGGTCTACCTTGGGTTTCTGTTTTTATCTTGGAGATAACCTTGTTTCTTGGTCTTCTAAACGACACCATGTCGTCTCGCAATCTAGTGTCGAAGCCGAGTACCGGGGGTAGCCAATGTTGTTGTTGAATCCTTTTGGCTTCATAATCTTCTCCTTGAGTTATCCTATCCGTTTTCTTGTGCCACTCTTGTTTTTTCTGATAATATCGGTGCCACATACCTAGTGTATAAATCGGTACAGCACCAACGAACCAAACATGTAGAAATTGATTTACATTTTGTTAGGGAACGTGTTGCGATTGGTCATGTGCATGTTTTACATGTTCTGTCGGCTTATCAGTATGCATATATATATATATATATATATATATATATATATATATATATATATATATATATATATATATATATTCATAAACGGTTTACCTACTCAGTTATTTCTTGATTTTAGAAATAGTTTAATCATTAGAGATTCCCCCGTTCAAACTCAAACTACAAGGGTGTGTTAAATATTTAGTTTAGTTATTTCTTTTTTATATTTTTACATAGTATAGGGTCCCTTTGTGTAATATATATTCTACATGTATGTATCCAATACATGCAACCCTAATTGATAGGTTTTCACATCATTCAACATTTCCCTTCCCCGAATCCCATGTTTAACCTTATTTATCTTATCTTTTGGGTGGTATAACCTACATGCATTCCTGAAATCCCCCGCTCCCGCGCGGAAATGAGAACCCAAGGGATTTTTTTTACATTAACATCCGTATTTTCAATAAATATGAAGTTCAATGATCATTTAATTTTTATTGATTTTTTCAATGGAAAGCAGAAACTTTTTTTAAGTATTAAATATGTCATAAATTAGATTTTATAAATATGTTCTATTAGACTTTAGAGCATAGATAATACAGAGTTCAATAATAGAATTGAAAGAGGGGGCAAGCATAATTGTCATTTAATGGTTGAAGCTCAACCATTATGAGATGTCGCATTGAAATTTAAAGTTTAACTGAAACTTTTCAATGAGAAATTTTTTTTTTTGATTCTTAAATAGATGTTTAAATATATTCCATTGAACCCCATAGAGTTTAATATATTATAGAAAAAATAATAGAGTTGTATACAATATAAAGTGATATTATGTCAATCCATTAATCTTTATGCATTAATTGTGGATGCTGTGCAGTTAAATGCTTTTAGAAAAAAATTGTTAAAGTTATATGAATACTGATGATATGTAAATTCCTTAAACTCTAATGTATGGATACAACAAACGAAGTTGTTAGATTACTTACTTATTTTCAACCTTAATTAAAGACCTCATTTTGTATAACCTGGACTATATAATATCTTTTTTTTTTTTTTTTTTGTATCAGAAGCATTACTTAAAAAAAAAAACATGTGCAACTATCGGGTGGTTGCTTATATCTCTTAGTCGAATGACAGTCAAACAAAGTAGCAATATTGGTCAAAGCATTTTTAAGAAATCATCTCATAAAATAGTTATTTGGAGACGCAACAAATTTTGTTTCGTGATATTGCAAAGATTCTATTTTCCTGATGCAATCTATAGCATTTCATCATATATGCAATATATAACACACATAAATGATAAGCAACTCCATGCATTTATTTTTGAAATGAGAGAATCTAAATTTTCATACACATATGATCTAGCTAAACAGCTAATCCTACATTTTTTTCACAGTATTTATAGGAAATGAAGGTAGGGAGTATTGCAAGTATAATCAAAACACAACATCAGAGTTACCTGCTTCAATTAATTTTAAAGGAATGGTAAGATAACCAGATCCTCAATCCGATTGTCCATGCATGTATGCTTCAAATATGCATTTCTATTCTTAAGTACTCGTTCTCGTTTTTTCTCTGTATAGGGTTTCTTAATGGCAATCTTGTTGGGCTTGCTTTGCTTATCATTTGGCTCCAAAATCACAAGTGCTACCACCTACGATGTAACATCTTATGGTGCAAAAGGAGATGGAAATACAGATGACTCCAGTGTAAATAATATCTTCAACATTGAATAAAAAAGAGAATGTTGTATCATGAAAATTAAATTAAAGAAACCACAAATTAATCAGTTAACTCTTTTTTTAATTATGTTCATTCTTGCAGGCTTTCCTTCGAGCATGGGATGATTTATGTGGAGATCAGTCGCCAGAACCAACATTGATAATACCATCAGACAAGACATTTTTGATAAGCCCGGTGGCATTCAATGGGCCATGCAAATCCCCTACTGTATATGTTATGGTAATTAAAATGAACAAATAGCTAGCTATCCAATGCTTTTAATTTATAAAGTCGCTTTTGATTAAATGTCACTTTGTTATAAATTAATTATGATTAATATAATGAGTAGCTGTTGGGCAACATCACTGCACCCAAGACTTTCGATGGATGGAAAGATTGTGTTCGGAATCACTATTGGATTTACTTCACATCCGTGCAAGGACTCAAGATCCAAGGACCTGGGCAAATTGATGGTCAGGGTTCGATTTGGTGGAAAGAGGAGGTCGAATATTTCATAATCTCTAGTTTAAATTAATTGATCAATATCAAAAACTTATATTAATTAAATGGAAACATAAAAAACATCGGATTCATGGTTCCTTTTAATTTACAGGGTAAAACCACAACCAACACTTGCGATCGCCCAACTGTAAGCCGTCTGTTTTTTTCAATGTTATGGACTTGAATTATATAAAGTTTCGTAAAAACTGACATGTATATATGCCAATTTGAATGTTTAGGCTTTACATTTTCATTCTTGTAATGGCCTTCAATTGAGAGGTACAACACACATCAACAGCCCGAAGCTACATATGAGTATCAATGGTTGTGAAGATGTAGATGTTGGAAATCTAAACATTTTAGCTCCTGGGGATAGTCCCAATACCGATGGGATAGACATTAGTGGATCCTCACATGTTTATATCCATGATTCTAAAATTCAAACTGGTATGAGAGTAGATAATCATAACATTCTTGATTCTTAACGATTTATTCTATCATGTATATATATTGCATAAGCTTTATAATATGCTTCTTTTTCTGGAAACCATCAAAAACAGGTGATGATTGTGTTGCTATTAATGGTGGGACGTATGATATTAATGTCACAAGAGTGTTATGTGGACCTGGTCACGGCATAAGGCACATGAAAACGCTCTTACTTATATAGTTATATATCGATCATGACATTTATACAATTTTTTTTTTCTCACTATATGTATGTGATTTTGCAGTATCGGAAGCCTTGGGGAAAACGGTGGTCATGACACAGTTGAACAAGTTCGTGTAGAACGTTGTAACATCTCAGGAACAACAAATGGGTTAAGAATCAAAACGGTGCCGGTAAAATTAATGACATACAACTTGATGACAATCTTTGCATTTTTTTTACATATCGTATTCAATGGTTATTATTTGATTTCAATCCATTTGGTATGTCATATGTAGTATGGAACGGGGTATGCTAGGAAGATTGTATTTCGAGACATTCATCTGGAAAATGTTAAAAATCCAATTATAATTGATCAACATTATTGTAATAATCCGGAAGATGCCTTTTGCCCAGCACCGGTATGCTTGTTCTCCATGAAAGTAATCTCATTTTACCAAAGATGCAATTCCATATCTAACATTTACTGATTTTTTTATGTATCAGCCAATGGCGACAGCTGTAAAAGTGAGCGATGTTATGTATATGAATATATATGGGTCTTCGGCAACAAAGCAGGCTATTACTTTCAATTGCAGTGGAAAGTTCAACTGCACTGAAATTGTAACAAACGAAGTTGGAATCACGGGACATGATGAATTTTCTTACTGCCAAAATGCTCAAGGAAAATTTATCGATACCAACCCTCCTATTAAATGTTAAGTATTAGATTGTAGCAATCCCCCATAGGGTTAAAATCTATGTACTTTTACATGTTCTAATGATAACAAAGGTAAATATATTATTTTAAGAGCTTCCCCTCCCGGATAAATTCTACTCACATACGGATATATGTATTACCCGTCAACAACCCGTTTGAGGTAAAGTCCTAAGCTGCAAGTCTCCAAGCTCAAAGTACAATTAATCCAAGCATCGGTTTCATCATTTTCTCCAGACGTTTTAACCATGCAACCATCCAACTTATTCTATTAAGACCTAAAGTTAGAATAGAAATTAACCAAAGATTTGTTACCATCCCCTCAAACTTAACATTGGTAAATAAATTAATCACTTTTAAATGGATCAACATACCATACCTATTCTTTTTAAAAGAAATTGATGATGATTGAAGTTAAAGATTTTGGCAAAATATCTTTAGCAACATGAATCAATCTAAACGGGTGAGTCATTATCACAAAAAAAATGAAAATGAAATCAAATTTTTAATTCTTAAATCAACAATTATTAACCTTAAATATCCACATAACCTGACATTTTATCGAACCAAAAGAACGATATCCTAATTCCATCGAAAAACTTTTATATTTCTTGCTCTTCCAAGAAATAATAGTATTCCCTATATAAACACAATGCCAAGTACATTTATGAAGACAAACATTTGGCCTACTTAGCATGCACAAAACTTTTCAAAGATAAACATTCATATCTAGTTACATAATTCCCTTCCATGATTACTCTTTAAGAAACAAAGTGCAATACTTAGATGTGACTTACATTGAGTGTGCATAAACTAACTCAAGAGTTGAACAATATACAAAAAAGCAGATCCATTAATAGTTAGATAAATCAAATTTTGAATGAGAACTGATTCAAACATAACATTTTTTCTCCGTACACAACAATTTGTGTTTTAAAGTGTTGTATTGTACAATTCTATAATGCATAAATTGTTGTGTATGACAAAAAAACTGTTGTGTACGAATCACTTTCCTTTTCGAATTTATATCTCAAATTTAGTAACATTTTGCAATAGATGGTCAACCTTACTAACCCCATCGCTTTTAGTAACATTGGAATCTAATAATTTTTAACCGGTAAGATACAAAATTCACGAATTTTAGTTTTCTTAGATATTTTATAATAAAATTGATTTTAAAAGTATATTAACTTTACTTGTTCCATCAATGTTATTTCCGATAAAAAAAAAATATCATCTACATACACATGCAATACAACTATTGACTAATTTTTACTTCTAACAAATAGTGAATAATCATTAACACTTCGAGTAAAACCCAAACCGAAGATAACGAAGAACACAACTTTTCATTCCACTTATATGGAGCCACTACTAGAAAATAGAGGGTTTTTCTATAGAAAATAGCTACAGAAATTTTCCATAGCTAATTAGTTATGGAATCATTACGGATCAGCTATAGAATAGGATGCCCTAATATACTAACGGAATAGCTACAGATACTAGTCCGTAGATATTCTGTAGCTAATTAGTTACATAATAGCTATGGATGCTAATTTGTAGCTAATTATCTACGGAATGAATACAGAGTAGCTACAGATACTAATCCATAGCTATTTTGTAGCTAATTAGCAACGAAATAGCTACGGACTAGCGACTGAAAGGAAATAGCTGCGGAATAGCTATGAAATAACGACGGATACCAATCACTATTTTAAGTAAGTTTTTTTGGTTTAATTCGACTTAGGTTTTCGTTTTGGGTTAGGATTGATTTTCAGTTTTTGTAACTTGCTTCTGCTTATTGGTTGTAGAATAGAATGGGTTTTTTGTAACTTGCTTCTTGATTATTTGTTTTGATTTAGGGTTTATTTTGATTTTCGTTTCAAATTGAGAAAATGGTTTATATGATTTAGAAACTTTAGTGAAAGTAGATTGTTAAAATGGTTATAAGATGGTTAGTTTCAAAGGGGTTTGACAACCTAAGCAATGGTTCTTCTTAAAAACAGGTTTAGCCATGAAAAATATGAGTCTATTTGTTGTAATAATGAAAATTTAATATGAACAATATGTTTTAGGATTCAGAGAATGTATAGAAACAACTTTTTTTAGGATTTAAAAGTTATTAGGAGGATATGAACAACATTTGGTCACTTTGGTTAGGAGATATAAACAACATTAGGTAATTTTCAAAGGCTTAAGAGTTAAAAAAAAATTATTCATGATGGCTTTCACCCTTTGCAAGTTGTTTAATGCAATAAAAAATGTAAATGTTTGCTTCAAAGAATCATTTGTTTATATCTTTAGGATTTAAAAGTTTTTAGAAAGAAACTACAAGTTTAAGAGTTTTTTTTTCCTGTGTGTAGGGGCATAATATTGTGTGTAGGGGCATAATATGGATCCAAATTTCTCTTTACAAATGCTTTCGATTTTCAAGAAATCACAAGTTCAAAAGGCATCATGTATGTTTGGTAGTCTTTGAAGGAAATGTGTTTTTATTTTTGAGCTAGTTAAATGAAGATATACAAGCGTATTATAACATCCTAGTTTCATTTTGTTATACTTATAGTTTTGTACTTTCAAAAAATTCCCCAATTATGGCTATAATAAACAAATAAATGAAAGTACATTGCTATGTTTGTATTTTTTTGTGATCATTGATTATGGTATGCTGAAACAGGAACAATCGACAACATTTGATTCAAAACTCAAATTGAAGAACACTTGTCAGCCTTTATTGATTCAACTTACCTGATAATTTGCTAAGTAATCCATCAAATAATTCTCAATTTTATTTTGTAAGCATTTATTTAAACATTTGTAGTTGACACTTTTAATGTGTATTATTAGACACATTTAATGTATTATTAGACAATGTTAATTATTAATATGTATTTGTATTTGATACTTTTTTTAAGTTTATTAGTTTTATTACAATGTTATTTGTTTTGTACATGGATTTCAATATTATTATAAGTTTAATGTAATGAGTTTTTCAATATTTTGGACAATAAAAACTAGATTTTTTTTATAATTTTTTACTATTTTTTTAAAATTAAAAGTAATTAGCCACAAATTACCTGCTGAAAATCCGTACCTATTTACTTTCGTAGCTATTTCATAGCTATCCATTTCCATAGCTATTCCGTAGTTATTCTATTTTGTAGCTATTCTGTAGGAAATCCGTAGCTATGTATTTCCGTAGCCATTCCGTAGCTAATCCGTACCTATAATTTAACCACGAGCCATTATGCTAAAGACAATTTTCCGTAGCAGCTATGTTGCTATCCGCTTATAGCTACAGAATATTTACAGATTGTGTTGTAATTATCACACCAGTTTTCTAGTAGTGAGCTTGCTAAACGTATATAAATATTTTTAACAATTTACACACCCTATTCTCCCATTTCATATGATACCCCGACACAAACAAATATATACGACCTCATCAAGGTCACCAAATAAAAAGATATTGTTTATGTAAAATTAAAAAATAACCCATTTTTAATTAACAAGAGTTGTATCGGTTCTAACAAATATCATAATGGGAATATGAGAAAATATCTTCTCATAGTCAATTCCCCCATGTTGATTATAAATTTTAGCAACTAAACGAGATATACCTCTCAACCTCTGTAACGCCCTGTTCCAAATCGATTCATAATTCGATGTTGTGGCCCGAAAACCAGTTACCATAAGGCTTAGGTCCTTAGGGAAGAAGAGTGTTAGCCTTTTTGGATGTGGGTATTATAGATTAGTTGATCCGAGAGTTCGGTTGTGTTTCGGAACCCAGAGGTATAATCGTAATTTGGCAGTTCGAGCCCTTATAAATTTTGGGTTTTTGTTCGGGAAGTTTTAAGGCGAGAGTGAGTTGATAGAATTGTAGGGCTTCTCATCACCTTCTCGTGGATATAAATTTTGTTGGAAATGGATTTTGGACGAAGGAGTTATGACAAAATGAAGTTAAAGTGTTTTGGAGCTTGGTCAAGTATGCGGGGTGTACGCACGGCATAGTGGATTAAAGGATCATGGAAAAACCATTCTTTGCTTCAATGTTTAAGATCAAGGATCTTGGTTATCTTAATTTCTCTTTAGAATCAAAGTATTATATACTTCATCTAGCATTTTTTGTGCTCCATGAAATTTAGCTAGCAATATGCTAAAAAATTTCTAGGTTCTAGGAATGTTGTTTTTCCTCTTCCAATAAATCTCAAGCTTTTACTGTGTCAAGTATGAATGAGCATTAGAACCGTCGGAACCATAACCGAACCAGAACCAAAATAGGAATTCGTAATAAGGTCCGGTTACTGGTTCTCCATTTTTATGAAAACCAGTCCCTGTTCTAAAAATCGGAATCGGTTTCACATTTTTCTTATTTTTTAAAATTTGCATAACTCACTCATATAAAGTCGCAATTACTTGATCATTTTTACAACATGTAATTTGGAATTTGTAATTCATTTTTTACTATACAAACATATAGTTTGGTTAGATATTGAATCAGATACATGCCCCGAAAGAAAGAATATTGATGATGCGTTTTTTCTATTTCAGCACTTTTTTGTTTTTTTTTTTTTTTAATTTGTTCTGTTTTTTTTTAATGTGCATAACTCATTCATATGACGTTGCAATTACTTAATTTTTTTCCAGCATGTAATTTAGTATTTGTACTTCATTTTAGACTATATAAACACATATTTTGGTTAGATATTTAATTAGCTATAGACCCCGGAAGACATTATACATATGTAGCGTATTTTTGTTTCAACATTTTGTTTTTATTTTTTGGAAATTTTCATGGTTTTAAAATGATCATAATTCACTCATATGAAATTAGTATTACTTGATTATTTTTTCATCATGTAATTTAGTGTTTGTATTTCAATTTAGAATTTAAAAAGTCATAATTTGGTTAAATATAGAATCATTTATAGGATCCGGAAGATAACATATCATCTACGATATCTCAACCGGTTCTATTTTGAAAATAACTGAAAAACCGGGACTG